CCTGAGACTGAGAGGGCTTCAAGCATGAGAAAGAGATTGGGCAGGAAATGAAGGAGTTAGGGACACACAGAACATTCCAAACGGAGAAACAGCATGAGGGAAAATATAGAGGTGTGAAATAGCATGTTGTTCTCTCCTTTCTTTGTTGGGATGTAACTATAACTGCATCCCCCCTCCTGAATCTCTAGTGAAGAATGTTTGTGTGTGTGGGTGGGTGTGTTTATATTATTTATTTATTTGGCTGCGTCAGGTTTTAGTTTTGGAACGTGGGATCTTCAATCTTCATTGCAGCATACAGATTCTTTAGCTGAGGCATGCAAACTCTTAGTTGTGGCATGTGGGATCTAGTTCCCTGACCAGGGATTGAACCTGGGCCCCTGCATTGGGAGTGCGGAGTCTTAGCCACTGGACCGCCTGGAAAGTCCCATGTGGGGGGTTTAATTTCCAGTCCCTCACAAACTAAGATGTGTGGCCCTACTGTGTGTGATGACTATGGAGCTTATGCCACATGCCACTCACCATGGAGCTTTGACCCCATCAATTTCCGGTTCAACAAGTGTCCACTGATCACCCACTTGGATGTCACATCAAGGTCAAGCGTCTTCAAGCTTCCAGAGTGGTTACTCTCAATTTCTGTGCTTTTCTTATTGTGGACTAGCAGTGGTTCATGGACCACACTTCAGGTAGCGCTGGTTTAGAAGATGGTGAATCCCTTTCAGGGAGGAACCATTTCTTTATATTTTATCCATCCATTGGATTTGTAGCAGACCACCCAAAAGAAGGCCTCTCCTTTCCCCAAAAGGGATGCCTACCTGTTAATTAGCTAGTGTTTTCCCTGTGTTTTGAATATGAAAAGCCCTGCCTGTATTAAATACTATTATTATTATTAGCTTCGTGTCCACTATAGTGGATGTCATTTAATTAGAACTGCATAATAGGCAAATCTGCCTTAATTGGCTGGGATGTGGCTAAGAAACCCTTTCACGTCCGTGTCTGCATTCTCTGTTCTGTGGCCATCACATCACATTCTCTGACAATGGGTCATTTTGGAGACCTTGGGTAGGGTTCAGGGAAGGTTATCTGGCTACTGATTAACACTTAATTAGCACCTTTTTCATGTAGCACAGCAGTGACTTTGTAAATTTAAAAATTTCAGGGGACCACTTAATGTGGAATTAAAGTACAAGTGCAATATTTAAGATGCATGAAATTGTTTTACGCATTACAGCATTAACTAGCTCTTAATTTATGCAGTGCATGCCAGCGAAGGGCAATTAAAGTGTAGCAGGGAAAAAAATTATAGATCTCTACGTTGTCCTGTCTTTTTCTCTAACGATGCTTTTGAAGGCTTTTGCAACATTCGTTCTCAACTCCTATTCTAGATTTAGGAGTAAATGGTAAGTTCTGAAACTTGTTTGCCTCACAGGAATCGACATTATCTTTAAGCTGAAACTACCTCCAACCATGATGTCCCTCTAGGGCCCAGAAATCCACCCAGGCCTCAGTGATTGGCCCAGGGATAGGCACATAAGCCCACTAGCCATTGAGATGTCAGGAGACATTTGCTGGAATTTATGGTAAAGTGAGGCTCACAATGTCTTCCTTCATAGCCATTGGAAGGTGTGGTTTTCCTTTCCCCTGGTCAGTGTGGTGTGAGGATGTGAGGTTGGGAACGGTGGCAGCCATTTTGTAAGCAGTCTGCAGTGGCAGGGGAGTCATTGTTTAAAATTTGGCCATGAATCCAACACCATGGGAAGCCATATGGCCAGGATGAAGAGAGACCTAATCCTGGAAGATATTATGGGAGACACTGGATTGGGACTAGTGTGAAGGCCATTGGCTTCCGTACTCTTGAATTATACTGGAACCTATAAATATACTATACTTTTTCACCTCCTTGCCTTTATGCTGTTCCCTTTGACTGGAATGCTCTTTTCCTTCCTTCTGCATCTTTCAAGTCCAAGTCCTAATGCCACCCTTCTAAGAAGCTTTCCTCAAGCTGAACCATGCTTGGGATGCCCAGAACCATGCCCCCTTCCTCTAGGATACTCGTGCCTCTCACTTGAAATTCTTCTGCAAGGAGCACACAACTGCCCTGAAAAGATTGACGCTACAAACGTGACTCTCCATCTCCCCCAACAGGACCTAAGCTCTTTCTTCTGTCCCCAGCATTAGCATTGTGCCTGGCACGCTGTGTCCACAAAGTGCTGCAAACTTGTTCCTAGAAAGGAATGTTAGCGATATTAGGATGGCATAGTCGGAAGAAGAGACAGCGCGTTTGAGCATATGGTCTTCTTAGCTAATGCCAGTAGGAGAAGGAAAAAAAAAACCTGAGTAAATGCTGCAGCTGGGTGGATTCCTGGGCCACTGCAGCTGCTGAGAGCAGGCAAGGACTTGCGAGAAGGAGGAGGAGGAGTCAGTTAATAGCCAGGCAGAATATTTGTCCCTCTGGTTGTAACTTACATAGACAGATACGGTCTCCAAGTACAAAGTCGAGGACTAGGAAATAAAAGTTTCCCGGTCACCCTCCTCCCCATACTCCATGTCATCTTGGCAGACACGAGGCTGAGCTACTCTGACTCCCCTCCAACCACTCGGAGTCTGGGCAGCTGACAGCCTCACAGTCCACACAGCGTTACTCTGGGTGCTGGCTCCAGCCAGTGGCTGAGCGAGCTGGTAGCACATGAGCCTGGCCATTTCCACCCACATGGTGCTGCTCTAATGGGCTCCCTTTGCTGGGAGCTGTTCAGATCTCCCTCTACGGCTGCTGGTTTCCCTGCCCAATCCTGCTTCTGCCCTGCTCCTTTCAGGGGTGTTTCCCCAATAAACCCTTGACACTTCTGAATCCATCTTATACCCATTTCTGAAAGAACTCTCCCAGAGGTAAAAACTGCTAACTCTTAGGGGTGTATTCTTCCAGCCCTTTTTTCTATTCATTTATGTATATGTATGCATGCATACCAGCTAAACGTTTGTTGTAATTCATTTTGTTTTTACATAAATGAGATTATACTGTGTATGTGAACTATTCTACAATTTTAAAAAATTTAGCGCTTCTCTTGTGCACAGTAGATATCAGTATGTATAGGTATGTCTTTTCTTGTTTGCTGTATACTATTCCACAGTATGGCAAATTCATCGTTACTTAACCATTCTTATACTGATGAATGTTTGGGTTTTCTATCTTCTATTACTTTTTTTAAAGTATGTTTTTAAATTAATTTTTTTTTGTCTGTGCTGAGACTTTGTTGCTGAGAGCAGGTAAAGCATGAGGGCATTCTCTAGTTATGCCAAGTGGGGGGTGCTCTAGTGGGGTGAACAGGCTTCTCATTGCAGTGGCTTCACTTGTTGTGGAGTGTGGGCTCAGCATTTGTGGCACACAGGCTTAGTTGCCCTGAGGCATGTGGAATCTTCCCTGACCAGGGATCGAACTTGTGTCCCCTGTATTGGCAGGTGGATTCTTAACCATTGGAGCACCAGTCAAGTCTCTTCTATAAACACTTAAGGATATATTTATTTATTTTGGCTGCACCTGGTTTTAGTCTCAGCATATGGGATCTTTAGTTGTGGCATGTGGATCTAGTTCCCTGGCCAGGAATTGAACCCAGGGTCCCCTGCATTGGGAATGCAGTCTTAGCCACTGGACCATCAGGGAAGTCCCTTTATCTTCTATTATTAATAATGGTGCTAGGAACGTGGTATTGCTGCTGCTGCTGCTAAGTTGCTTCAGTTGTGTCTGACTGTGCAACCCTGTAGACGGCAGCCCACAAGGCTCCCCCATCCCTGAGATTCTTCAGGCAAGAACACTGGAGTGGGCTGCCATTTCCTTCTCCAATGCGTGAAAGTGAAAAGTGAAAGTGAAGTCGCTCAGTTGTGTCCGACTCTGTGCAACCCCATGGACTGCATCCCACCAAGCTCCTCTGCCCATGGGATTTTCCAGGCAAGAGTACTGGAGTGGGTTGCCATTGCCTTCTCCGAGGAACGTGGTATGAGAGGATTTCAAATAACAATAAACTGAACATTATTCCAGACAGTTTATAAACTTGTATTAACCAAGCCTTTTTGTGTGTTTCTGATGCTTTGACATCCGGGGCTTTTGCTGACCTAGGAGGGACTGCCTTTCCTAGGATTTGCCAGTTCCAAGAGATGGTGAACAAACATCTTGCCTGAGCGTACCCTTCAAATGCAAATAAACCAATCCAGAGTTGTACTCCTCACCACCGTGTCTATCTGACTCTCACATTCCAGGCCACCATTCCCCAGCCCTAATCAGACAGCTAGGGGCTTCCCTGTGGGTCAGCTGGTAAAGAATCCGCCTGCAATGTGGGAGACCTGGGTTCGATCCCTGGGTTGGGAAGATCCCCTGGAGAAGGTGAAAGGCTACCCACTCCAGTATTCTGGCTTAGCGAATTCCATGGATTGTATAGTCCATGGGGTCACAAAGAGTGAAGCTCCACGGAGCGACTTTCACTTTTACTTTCAATCAAACAGCTAGGGCAGCCCCACTGCCCCGGAGCCTAGCCAATCCTCAACCTGCTTACCCAGCCTTGCCTGTTCCTTTTTGCGGAAACCACATTAAAGGCTCTTGCCCACCAGTTCCCCCTCTCCCTCTGCTTCCTGACCAACCCCAGCGCTTCTCTGTGTACCCCTCCTCCCGTGGTCTAGCCTGCCCCCTCCTCTTGGGATTTGTAAGTATAACCAATTATCTTGTCTATGCCTCTCGTCATCTCTTGCTCTGTTGGCATCACCAGACCTGAATCATAATAATAAAAAAAAAAACCTATGTTCTAAACAGGAGGACCTCACACTGGCAAGGTAGAACAAATATTTTCCTTTTCTCCCAAAGGTTCTGGCAGGCTTTCATTTGTGAACTCTTTCTGGGCGCATGCGAAGTGCTAAATGTGCTGGGTTACTTAGGGCAGACACAAGAAAGAACTTCCCGCCAGTAAGCAAGTCCACCAGAATAACCTTATTCTGGGAGCATCTTTAGAACAGTGGCGTCAACAGCCTGCAACAACCACCCTGTGAGCTGAATCCCCCCACAGAACAGACGCAGGGACGGAGGCTGGCGGCCGGCTCCTGCTGGCAGAAGGCTTCAGGAATTCACCACTCAGCGGGGCACGGCCCCAGCCCTCGCTGAAGGAGGCCGAGAGGTTCCCTCCGGCCGGTTCCTGCAGACAACTGCGGTCATCTGCAGCTGAGAAGGGAGGGGGAATGGGATTACCGCCTTCCCTGTTGCCCTGGGGCTCTGGACCCGGTGACGCGGGGCATCCTGGCCTGTGTTCGCAGCTGCCTGCCGGGAGCCGGAGCCTGTCAGCTCGAGCGGCAGCGAGGGAAGACGTTTCTGACACAAAAGCCCAGGGGAATCCACGGAGGAGCTGGGCTGTCATTACTTATTAACAATGGGCCTGATCTGCAGCCAGGCAGGCCCAGGGAAATAGCCTGTAGGGAGGCCGGCCTCCCCGCTACGAGGTGGCTTAACACTCTCAGTGCCGGAGGGAGCTGTTGGGGGAGGGGTGTCAGTTGTCACATTTTTTGCAGGGAAGAGGGGCCATTCTTTACATATTAGACAGAGGCGCGCCGGTCCTCGTCTTCCCCTCCTCCTCTCGGGGTCCGCAGTCTTCTCTTCCGCTCCCCTGCCCGCTCTGGTTTGAAGCCCTCTGGTTTGAAGCCGGCAAACCCACAGGATGTGGGGGACTGCGCTCCTGGGGAAAAGGAAGATTTGAGCGTGCACACAGCCTGAAACCTGGGGCTGACATCCTGGTAGCAGACCAGGAGAGGTGTGCAGACTAGCTGGTTCTTGCCTCTTTTCTCCCCCTCGAGGATTCCTGGGCTCCGGCGCCAGCACTCTCTGTCCCAACTCTGCGATCTCAGGTGGGCAGAGTCACCCACCTGCAGGTCGGGCTTCCTGGGGAAGCAGAGGCTGATATGGAGATTGGCATGGGGGACGTTTGTTTAGGAAGGATTTCTAGGATCGGCACCTGGAGATGGGAGGGGAGTGGAGGCCGAAGCCAGCAAAGGGGAAAACTGAACTACAGGGGTAGCTCGACAGAAGCCTCCGCTGGGGCCCTAGGAAGAGCTCTGGAGCTGGGGGGTGACCCTTCGGAGTGGTTCGCGGTTGGGCTGGAGGGGTGAGCCTCCAGACGCGGGCGTGGAGCAGCCCCGGGCGTGGGCTGCTCCAGAAACCCGCATGGCCCATGGGCAGGGCGGTTTCTTCAGCTTTGGGGAGGGGCTGAAAGCTGAAGGCAGGCTGAAGGCCACTCTCCAGCAGCCCAAAGTGTATGGATGGGGGAACCCGGCCACCACCACCTTGCCTCCCCCGGAGGCCAGTCTGGCCTCCTTTCCTGTTTCATCTCCTCCCATTCTTCCTGCTACCCCTCCTCCCATCCCTCTTTTCTTCCCTCTTCCCTGCAGGAACTATCCCAGAGGTTCTCAAAACTTTAAAGGCCGTCCGATCCGGCGGGCCAGTGCAAGTTTACAATCAACGAAACTGCCCTAATTGAGGCAGAAGGTCTGAGAACCAACCCCACCCCTCCCAACTCGGGCCACCGTCATCTTTGCTATAAAACACTTCGTAATCCCTAAAAGAGCTGGCTGGCTGAACTCGGAGCATTTTTTTCCTCTCTAATTGGGCGGTTCCAAACTTCACCACAGGGGGTGCTAAATTGTCACGGGTTCTTTTATTTGTGTCAACGAGAGCAGGAAGCGTAGAATTGTTATGTGTCTGTAATGTAAATTCCGCGGCCGGATGTATCTGTTATCTGTTCGGTTTCATGTACTTTAGGAGCAGGTACTGGACCTAACAGGGGACATGCACTTAGGAATAGGCAGGTAGCATGTTATCACCAAACCCACGCTCTGGAGCTCACCAAAACCTGAGCTTCTTCAATCAGCACCAGAGGTCTTGTTTATTAGCATAAAGGGCCTTAGAAATGAGTTCCCACTGGCGGAAGCAGTTCGAGGGGGAAGTGGATTGGTCAGGCATCCGAGCCGGACTTCAACACTTGCAGGGCTCAGGCTGGGAGGATGCGGTTCGCTCTGTGGTTGGTTCTCGAAGGAGTGGCGCCGCGGGCTTGATTCCTAAGTGATCCTACATGCATTCAGTGACTGAATTGGTGAGTTTTGTGCCCCTGGAGTCGGACTTGAAGGTTAGAGAATCCCGCTGCAAGACTTTCCTTGCATTTGCCTCGGGCAAACTTTCCTGAGAGGCGCTGCTGAAGCTTTTAAAGGATGGAGGGCTGGAAGGTCACGGAATTTACAGGACCATTATACGGCTACTTTGCGTAGCTTGTTCAGAAGTTGGCTTAAAGACTTCCTCTCACAGTAACCTGGTGGCACGATATGGAGAGGGGCCCTAAGACCTCACCCTCCTCGAATTACTAAAAGGTACAGGGCTTCCCTCATAGCTCCGTTGGTAAAGAATCCACCTGCTAATGCAGGAGACCCTAGTTCGATCCCTGGGTTGGGAAGATGCCCTGGAGAAGGGTAAAGGCTACCCACTCCAGTATTCTGGCCTGGGGAATTACACGGACTGTATAGTCCATGGGGTCGCAAAGAATTGGACAAGACTGAGCGACTTACACTTCTTCACCTCTCTCACAGATTTACCAAAAAGAACCTAGTGGGTTTTTATGCAAGACCAAACTGGCTTAGGTCAATAGCGCCAGCCTAAAACCCCACCTCATCTATAAAACTTTAATCAGCTGTGAATTCCCACCTTCCCACATCAATAACCACTGTGTACCTCCGCGTTTTCTCTCGGGTGTGATAGCGGTCTGCTTCTTACATCCTCTATCATAAGAAACTATAAGGACTATATGCATTGTGTTCTTAAACCCTTCCCAAACTGGTTGGATTCACAAATTGGAGACTGATGTCTTGGGGTTGTGGGGAGGTTAAAAAAAAAATCAGTGCTCAGAAGTATCCGCAGCAGGGAGGCCCCCCGTGTTCCTTATGAGCGGAGTGTGGATTAAGGGCTGGTGTGCACAGGTGCCACGAACTGTACTGCCCTGTGTCTCCGCAGTGCTAGCGCAGATGAAGCTCGACTACAAACAGTGTCTGTCCAATCATAGATCCTTCACACAGTCAAATAATCGATGCAAAACTCTGGCAAGGAGAGGAGATTAGGTCATTAGATCTGATGGCTTGGAATGCTGGTTGCCTCCTGAGGATGGGAACCAAGGTTGTGAGTGACATTCTCAACTTGGGTTAAATCTTCTCTCCGTACAGCCTGGCTTTGAAGGGTGGAGTCACAGTCATCAGGAAACAGGTTTCTCAGCCAGCAGTATCATGCTTACCTGTATCAGGTAAGTCCCAATGTGCAAGACCTTCGAGCACAACTTTGGTATTGAGTGTCTTTCAGCCCCTTGAGAGGACAAAGCATTTTCTCTGTCAGTGTCTGGTTGGACCTTTGTTGTTGTTGAGTCACTAGTGGTGTCTGACTCTTTGTGACTGTATGGACTGTAGACTGCCAGGCTCCTCTGTCCATGGGATTCTCCAGGCAAGACTACTGAATTGGGTTGCCATTTCCTCCTCCAGGGGTTCTTCCTGACCCGGGGATCGGTTGGACCTTTACAACTGCTGAAAATGTGAGGGTTGTGGGGCAGAGCGCTGCATCTCCTTGAGCTGACCAGTAGCTTGTTGCTTGCTGATGAAAGTCTAGATTTTTCCTGATGTTGGATAGCAATGCGTTTGTGAAAGGCGGGCTTAATTCCAGGACATGATTCATAATTGTACTAAACCAGAGTACAAACAGTACTTCTTTTAAAACTGTAGTTGATTTACAGTGTTGTATTAGTTTAGGTGCACAGCCAAGTGATTCAGTTATATATATCTATTCTTTTTCAGATTCTTTTCCATTATAGTTTATTACAAACTATTGAAAATAGCTCCTTGTGCTATACAATAGGTCCTTGGTGGTTATGTATTTTGTGTATAGTAGTATTTATATGTTAATCCTAAGCTCCTAATTTATCCCTCCCCTCTTCTTCTTTGGTAACCATAAATTTGTTTTCTGTGTCTGTGGGTCTATTTCTGTTTTGTAAATAAGTTCATTTGTATCATTTTTTCAGATTCCACATGTAAGCAGTATCATATGATATTTGTTGTTCTGTCTGGCTTGCTTCACTTTGTATGATGATGACTAGGTCCGTCCATGTTGCTGCAAATGGCACTAGTTGGTTCTTTTTATGGCTGAGTAATATTCCATTGTATGTATGTACCACATCTTCTTTATCCATTCCTCTGTCAGTGGACATTTAGGTTGCTTCCACGTCTTGGCTATTGTAAACAGTGCTGCTGAGCATATTGGGGTGCATGTATCTTTTCAAATTAGAGTTTTTGTCTTTTCTGGATATGTGCCCAGGAGTGAGATAGTTGGATCATATGGAAACGGTGGTTTGTTGTTGTTTTTACAAACATTACTTCATGATGATTTAGTTTAGGGAGTCTCTTTCCTGCCAAATAGAACTTAACAGGGATCCTGATGGCAGGTTTCTCAGAAGTATTTTTCTCTTCAAGCAAAGAGAAATGTTTAAGGAGATTGTTGCCACCATCACCCATCCAACGTTCTTCCTGCTTTGGAATGCTGTTTGTAAGGATATGAGATACTGGAGCAGCAGGAGTTGTTCTGTGACTGTGAGGAAATGATTGAACAGAAAGGTCATCAAGGACCCAAGATCTTTCTACCTATCTGGCCATCAAATCTAAGACCGCCTACCTCTGGGCTTCTTGTTCTATGCGAAATGCTTTTTATTGGAAACACCTGAGAGCATCCTAATGCTACAGTCCCTAGTACAGTCCCTAATTTAATAGTTAAGAAAGCTGGGAGAAATTAGGTCATGGAGTTAACTAGTGGCAGAGAAGGGCCTAGAATCCAAGGGTTCCAGTTTCATCCAGGATACTCTTATCTCTGAACTCTTAGGGAACCCCAGGGGCTGCCTCACGGCCAAAGGCACCGATGATCAGGCTCTGTGCCTCTGCCCAAATCAGAGTAGTGTGGCTTTTATCTGATTTATCTTATTGGCTTCTCACTAACATTCTGTTTGAACTATGAGGCTTAAACATATTTTAAAAACACTGTCCCACCCTTTACCCTTTACAAGAGTGGCTGACTTTTTACCCCACCACAGTGGAAATTGTAAAGAAAATCTTTTCTAAGAGGAAACGCACGGGGTTGGGGGTGGTATTTTATTTCCC